GAGCAGCACGTTGCAGAGTCCGGCCCGGGCGAGAGGAACACCCCGGCCACATTTGGCACCCAAGGTAATCGCAGCCCTCCCTGGTCACTTGTTCCCGGGGTAGTAGGAACATGGGAGCGTCTTCGGTGGATTGCTGTGCATTTGATAAGCTGTTGCACGGGTGGAGCGGATTGCATCGGATGCGGCATGTAAGGGCTTTCGGCTTGCCACTGAGCTGTCAGATTTCACTTCAGGAGCCTATCGAGCACAGAAGCGTCTCGCCTCGCTTCCCTGGATGCAAATCGGAGCATCCTTTCCATAGCTGTTGCTCGCAGGAAGCGGGGTGGCATGAAATTCCCAGCAAACATTTATTGGCTCAAAAGGGAATGGGCTGCGAGCGTTGGGGACCTCTGCTGCATCAGAGGATTTCCTGTTAGTCTTTTTTATTTATTTTATTTTATTTATTTATTTACCCTGCCCTCCCAGCAAAAGCAGGCTCAGGGCGGCTTACACTGGTTAATACATAGATAGTTAAAATCCGCATAAAATCATCTAAAAACAATTCAATTATAAGTAATTCATAAAGTGCTGCCAATGTTTCATTAATGGGTTAAGATGGCATACAAAGGCCTAACAGTTTTTCTGCTCAGTGATCTTCCTGAAGTGAACGGCGGCACAGGCTAGATGTCGAAGCCAAGGGCCAGGGCTCTGTAATTAAGACTGTTGGTGGTAATAGTGGCGACGGTTCCTTAGTTGAAAGCCTGGCGGAAGAGCTCCGTCTTGCAGACCCTGCGGAACTGTAGAAGGTCCCGCAGGGCCCTGATCTCTTCTAGGAGCTCATTCCACCAGTATGGAGCCGCCACTGAAAAGGCCCTGGTAGTAGCAAGCCTGGCATCCTGCTCTCTGGGGTATGTATGGGGAAAGGCGGTCCCTCAGGTATGTCGGACCCTGGCCATTTAGGGCTTTAAAGGCAAGAACCAGCACCTTGCAGCGAATTCGGTATGCTATCGGCAGCCAGTGCAATGTCTTCAGCACAGGCTGGATGTGCTCCCACCTGGGGAGGCCCATCAGAAGCCTGGCCGCGGCATTCTGCACTTTT